AAAAATTTAATATTTATTCTTTAGTTGTAGTTGGACACAATACCTTTATTTCATTATTTTTATGTGGTGCTGAGGATCGAACCCAGCACCTTGCACATGCTAGGCAAGCATTCTACCACTGAGCCACAACCCCAGCACAAATTAAGAGTTTCTGTTACTCAAGTACCCTTAAAGCTATATGAAATTGCTGTCTTTTGTAGGTCAGTTCTTTTTTTTTTATTTTTTAAAGAGAGAGGGAGAGAGAATTTTTTTTTTCTTAAAGAGAGAGTGAGAGAGCATTAAGTGCATTCCAATGACCTAGAAATGATGAATAAAGAGTGTCTTTTGTATGGTACTGGGAATGAACTCAGTGACATTCTACAACTAAGCTAAATCCCCAGCCTTTTTACATTTTGAGACAAGTTCTTGCTAAGTTGCCTGGGCTGGCCTGAAACTTGCAATCCTTCTGCCTCAGCCTCCCTAATAGCTGAGATTACAGGCATGAGTTACCACATCTGGCTTGAAGAGAACCTTTTAAATACCTAGTGAAAACATATGTGGCACTGAAAAACTTCATAAAGATTTAAAATTGCAGCCAGGTATGGAGGCACACGTCTGTAATTCCAGCAACTTGGGAAGCTGCAGCAGAAGGATCACAAATTTGAGGTCAGCCTTAGCAATTCAGTGAGACCCTACACAACTTAGCAAGACCCTGTCTCAAAACAAAACAAAAAAAGGGCTGGGGATATGATAGGCTCAGTGGTGAAGCACACCTGGTTTCAATCCCAGGAACCAAAAAAAAAAAAAAAAATTAGTAAACAAACAAATAAATTCAATTATAATATGGATGTTTCTGAAATATTGCTCTCTCCCTAGCACCATCACCTTTTCAAAAAAACTTGAAAAGAAGCCATCAAGGACTTGAGAGTACACCACAACCACAAAAGGGTTTTCCCTTTTCGTCCTAGAGGCGTTAAGACTATGGTTATACTTCAGACCATCACATAGAAGTAGATTCCAAGGTATTATAAAAATCTTTGAAAAAGACATAGGTGACATAGGCCAAGGCTTCTCTGTTAAGTCTCCTTCTGATCCACCTGTCTCAGTCAGTTCAAAGAAAGGCACACTGAATCTGATGGCTGGAAGAGAGTAATAGACCATTCAATGCCACAAAGATAGTATATGATCCACTAATTTCTCTATTAAAAAACCTGGGCCTATTATAAGAATAAAAGGAGGTTTCTTTTTTCTTTTTATTATAGGTATCATATCATTATACATTGCTTATGATAAATTTTAAGGCATAAGAGTTATAGAAACAATATTAGCAAACTGTGCTCTACCTGAAGTACTTCAATACCACTCAGAACACAGCACCAACTGAGAACACACCAGCCAAGTGCAAAACAAAGAGGAATAAATGCTGTTAATGAAGCACGAAAAGGGAAGTGCCAAAAAGAAAACTTCAAGATTGAAAACTATACACTAACCTATGATATCCTTCTATCTACAACTGCTACAAGTTTAAGGAAAACTCACTTATTGACATCAAAGAGATGAATTTCCGATCCACGTATGCAGTAAAATTCAGTGTAATACATTTTTCTTCTGGTCCAAGTAAAAGTGTGTATTTGCTTAAGTTTCGTGAGTTGAACATTTGTACATAAGCAAAATAACTTCCATGCTGCAATGAAAGGGAAATGTTATTTTACAAATATTTCTATTTCAACCAACTATATTTAAATATATTTAAATATATTAAAATTACAAGTTGTTGCTCCATTTTTTGGGGGTGGGGTGGAGGGGTGGGAATTGAACTCAGGGGCACTCAACCACTGAGCCACATCCCCAGCCCTATTTTGTATTTTATTTAGAGACAGGGTCTCACTGAGTTGCTTAGTGC